CGCATCTGCGCCGCCGCGCGCTCAATCCACTCAGCGTGATTTGCTCATCAGCTCGCGCAAATCAGCTATACAGGCATTAATATATACTTCGTAGACATCTTTAATCTCTAATAAATCCATTCTGCTGTCTGTCGTCGATGTTTCTTTGTCTGAATATGGCACTTAGGCTATCACATGCTGTGTCTGTGTGGTATTGGTGTTTGGTATGGAGGCATTTTAACGAGTACGAGTACAGGAGCTCAGTATCGGGCCCGATACCAATACCAGTATCGGTGCATCCCTAGTACCAAGTTTCATGCCTTTATGAAAAAGTGAAAATTTCACCTCAAATTTTGCACATATCACCTGGATTATACCAGATGTACACCCAGGCCTCCATATACTGTACACTGTAATAATTTGCCCACTTTTTCTCCATATTTCCAGTGCTGGCAAAGTAGCGCATGTTTAGAATATACAACTAAAAACAACTCCAGCTGTTATGTCAACCAATGTCATATGAATCATATGTAACCTGTTTTCGTCTTGATTGTGATATGCAAATACTTTGCATAATTGTATTATTCAAGGTTTAAAGCTGCAGTCTGTAACTTTTTTTGGTTAAAAATATTTGAGCAAGTACATAACCAGCCAGTGTTCAAAACTATCGCCTTACTTTAGCCCGATTAACAACGGTTATCTTATAATAATGTTTTCTAATTTGAGTGGTACGGGTAGGTTTTCGTGGGAAATTCGAGCATGGCACTGCGTCATTACATCACTTCTGCAAACATAAAGAAGTTGTCCCGGCTAGTAGACTATGGCATGTGAGGAGCCTGCAGGTGGCCGATCATTTATAGCCTTTTCTCACAGCAGCCAGAATACATTCACACCATTCACACCTCCTGCAACCCCCCTCTCCCCCACACCTGCATGTCAAATCAGTGAAGACGAGGTGCGGCAGGTCTTCCGGAAGCAGAAAAGGAAAAAAGGCCCAGATTGTGTTACACCAGCCTGTCTGAAATCCTGTGCTGACCAGCTGGCCCCCATCTTCACACAGATCTTCAACAGATCACTGGAGCTGTGCGAAGTCCCTTCATGCTTCAAACGCTCCACCATCATCCCCATCCCAAAGAAATCCAAAATTACAGGACTAAATGACTACAGGCCTGTGGCTCTAATGTCTGTCGTCATGAAGTCATTTGAAAATCTAGTGCTGGCCCACCTGAAGGACATTACTGGACCCTTGCTTGATCCTCTTCACCCCACTGCTCTTCTCCCTCTACACCAACGACTGCACATCTAAAGACCTCTCTGTCAAGCTCCTGAAGTTTGCAGACGTCACCACACTCATCGGCCTCATTCAGGATGGTGACGAGTCTGCTTACAGACAGGAGGTTGAAGAGCTGGCTGTCTGGTGCAGTCTCAACAATCTGGAGCTCAACACGCTCAAAACAGTGGAGATGATCGTGGACTTCAGGAGAAACCCCTCTGCACTCCCCCCACTCACCATCATGGACAGCACTGTGACTGCAGTGGAGTCATTCAGGTTCCTGGGCACCACAATCTCTCAGGACCTAAAGTGGGACACTTTAGTCCTTTCGCACCGCTTTAGTTCCAGAACTAAATGTACAGTACTAAAGTACTGGGATGATTTTGCGTGAACTATTTCCCAGTACCATATAAAGGGTTGCATTCGCACCGACAGTGTGTACTAAGAAGTGATGCAAGCCGGTCGACAGCGACATCATCTGTGCGTGGCGTTCAACAACAGAAACAAAGAATAACAACATTAACAACAGGAGGATGGAGGACGCTGTGATCGGAGCTGTTTTTGTTGTGTCTCGCGGGTTTCACAATAATGGACATGGAAAGTCGACGTATATGTAAAGCGATTGAAAGAACGGAATGGAGGACTAAGAATCTCCAACGACAACTGGCAGTGCTACATTTGCTACAAGTACCTACACTTCAGCGTCTGTCCATCTTTCGCTGTTCTCTATACTTGCAAAATAAGTTGACACAATGTTTACAGTATGTTTACACAGCATTTTAAAGAAACAGTTCTACTCTGCTATCATTGAATCCATCCTATGCACTTCTATAACTATCTGGTTCAGCTCAGCTACCAAATCTGACCTCAGAAGACTACAGAGTGTAGTCCGGACTGCTGAGCGAATCATTGGTACAACCCTCCCTTCTCTCCAAGAACTGTACTCATCCAGAGTGAGCAAAAGGACTAGCAAAATCACTCTGGACCCCTCACATCCAGCACACTCCCTCTTTGAACTGTTGCCATCTGGTCGACGCTACAGAGCTCTAAGCACCAGAACGGCCAGACACAGGAACAGTTTCTTCCCTCAGGCTATCCATCTCATGAACACTTGACAATAACTGTGGAACACACAACACTATTTATACACTCATACGCTTATTTATCTAACACACATAGTCTACACCTCAAATTTGCACATAATATACCTGTACATACAAAACTGTCTATTGTAATATACCTGCACATACAATTGTCAATTTAAATATTGTTATTCTTTATTTACTTGCTCTATTTTTTATTTTTTTATTCTTCTTTTATTATCTGTGTTTTTGTTCTGTCGCTGTCATTCTGTTGCACTGCAGAAGCCTCTGTCATGAAAACAAATTCCTCGTATGTGAAAACATACCTGGCAATAAAGCTCATTCTGATTCTGATTCTGACAAAGAGGCAAAACTAAAATAATAAAAGATTTTGAAGAGAAATGTTTTGAAGAGAGAGAAAGATTTTGAAGAGAAAAACGTTTTTGAAGAGAGAGAGAAAAAATATTTTGAGGACAGAGAGAAAGTGTTCAGACTTAGGCTCAGGAAGGATCTAAGTCACTATATTTTATTTTCCCCCCTCGTTGATTTAATTTTAAAAAATGTGCGGTTGCGGTTCAGGGCTTCCGTACATATCATTGCATTTTTGTACCATTATATATTTTGGCACAATATATCATTACACCCCACCTTCATGTATAAAATGAAAATGCAATCTGTAAAAGAAGCTTTACCTTTCTGCTCTTTGGTCTGTTCTGTGTTTTTTAGCACTCCCCTCTTGGCCTCTTCAATCTGTCTCTGTTTTTTCTCTGACTGTCTCTGACTTTTATTGAGTACTTGACTGAGCACTGACTCTCCTTCTCCCATTAAAAACATGCTTTTAAACTTATTATAAAGCATCGTGGATTTGTCCATCACATCCTGGCTGGCTTTGAACCTGCGGATCTGTAAAGACACAGTATAAAACTGATTCATTTTCAGTTAACACTATTTATTTTTATTTATTGTGTTTGTTGTTTTTGCTGCAGGTGGTGTACAATAATAATTTATAAACATGACAATTGTCCAATGTTGCCCAAAAAACGTTTTAATCATACCTTTTTAAGAGTAGCTATGAGTTCACAGTGTCTCTGAAGTTGTTGAGTAGTCACATGCAATGAGCTCAACTCATCCAATGCAACTAAACATTTCCTCACATCCTAATAATGGAGAGAATAAAGATTTACTTACACAACAAGAATTACATAAACAAGAAGGTTAATACATGAATTTCAAAGAGAGCATGATCAATATCAGTCTATGTAAGTGTCAACTAATGATATTACAGAAATTATGTTTAAAATCTATATACAAGAATGAAAAAAAAATTTAATTGGAGCCTGGACTTACAAGGTTATCAATCTTCAAAGATGTTTTAATATCCCCGTGCAACTTCTGCAGTCTGGACTCTGCAGAAACGTCTTTATTTGATGAATTGAAAAAGTAAAAAAACAATGTTTCAAAAAGTGTCATTACAAATAGATAATTAGGTGACTATCTAAAGACTGCATAGCACATCACTATTTATTATCTTACCCTTTCTCTTGTCTCCTTTTCTGTCATCTCGCTTTCCATCTTTTCCTATCCTGCAAAAAAAACAACAACAAAAAAACAACAACATAACCATCTAGTTATTATTTCTTTTTATAAAGATCTAGTGCATGAACTCATGTTTTGCTTTGCTATTTAAAGGGACTATATGTAATAATTTTCATGTATTAATTGCTTTTTTATTGATAGTGTGTGAACAACTTGTTACAAAACTTACAAAATGAGACCTTTCCCCGACTTCCTAGGTTGTCCACGAAAGCTTGAAGACTGATTTTTATGTGATAGACTCGGGGACTGACTTGACAAAGCCAACATATTAATATAATATTTAAGCTTTTTTGATATAATGTTTAAGCCAACCTACTGAAAAACTATTTAAACTTGTCTGAAGCTATCTAGTTACCTAAATCCAGTGGGCTTAAACAGCTTGCCCTTTTACAGCAGGTTTAGTTCACAAAAACTGAAAGTCATGACCTAAATTTGATTTTCATTTACAATAATGAATTATAATGAGTTATAAGCTAAAAGGTAAAGTTGCTTATTATAGCGCCACCTTGTTGATTTTCTCAAAATACAGTACATATCTGTTTAACCATGACGTAAGAATATTTACGTTTTTGTAACTGTAGGCCATTCGGATTCAATGTTAGTAACGGTTGAAATTTGGCTGCTGGCAGCATTTTTTTTATAGTCATATTACAGGATATGTTAGGACGTCAACCAAAGATGATGCATAACAATTTTCAACCTTAAAGGGGTCATATGATGCAAATTTTTTTTTTTCCTGGACTCCACTTCATCCACGGTGAAAGCCGATCTGGCGATCGACAGCGCGAAGTTGAAGTATTTCCTCAGCAGCAATACTACAGCGAGAATAAAATGTTACGCATTCTTTTTTTGCGTGAACATTTGGGCGGCGTTATGCAAATCTTCCCAGATAGTGACGTAGGTATGTGGGAGCATGTTAGAACGAGCCGTTTTAGGTAGGTGTGGCTGACTCTTAACTTTTATAAAGAATATCTCTTTGGATTTCAGACTTTAGTCTTTGGAACTTTACAGATCTTCTTTATGCACCAAGAGCTTGTAACACTCCAAAGAGAAAGGAAAAATTTAAATCGCATCATATGACCCCTTTAAACCTTCTTCAAATCCATTTACAGAACTGTATATACTTAACGAGTGCGGTGTGTGATACAACAATGTATGCAACCTTATCTATTAAGATATATACTGTATATATCAGATTATATATACTGCTTTTATTGTCCTCATTTGTAAGTCGCTTTAGATAAAAGCGTCTGCTAAATGACTAAATAAATAAATAAAATATATGAATGCATGGGTCAATGATCAGCATTACCCATTGATGTTTGGTCTTCACATTTTCAGCACAATGTGTAGGTTAATCTGGAATTGGTTTGGAAAGTGAATTATTCATAGGAAAAACCTTAAAGACATTGTTCTAAACATAGACTTTAAGCTATGCAAATAAACCTCATGCCAGAGAGGGGCCATACCATGGCCACCTCCAGCATGCTATCTTTAGGACTATCTCTAGGACTTACAGCCTTTTTACTTTTACGGCCAATCAAAACGCTGGATCTGAAAGGCGCCAACTAAGCTGCTAAATTGTTCTAAGGAGAAACAAGGAAGTTCTGCAAGAGTGGATTTGGGGAGTTTGGAAACAGCAACAACGACCACAAGCTTAGTGCCCCGCATCTTTTGCAACAACTTCAGAACCTTCTCTTCAGCGATCCTCCATTTACAAGTTCCAAACTGCTAGGATCTTCTCCAACAACTTCAGAATCGTCTTGTCAGCGATCCTCTTCCTGCATGTTTTAAGTGTCTGGATCTTCTGTACAGACATCAGAACCTTCACCTTCAAGGCTCCTCTGTTTGTATGTTTACAGAAAAAGGAGCTCATCGTTCACCAGTGCTTTGTGTTCAAGACTGTGAAACGGGTCTAACTCCTTTCTTCCCACTGCAGCGTGGCCCAGGTCAACAAGTGGAAGACCTCTCTGCCCAGACGCGGAATGCAAATATCACGCTTTCCAAACCTCTTTCTAGAGACCGTTGGCATTAGTATATATTGTCAGTTTATGATGATCTAATTTGCATTAGATTTTATATAGCTGATGTCAGTTAATAACAAATAATCTCTCGATTTATTTGTTGAATCTAGAATAAGGTTTACCTTATTAATTCCAGGAAACTACAGTTTATCTTTCCATAAGATAACAGAAACATCCAACTCAATCACTTGCATCTATCAATCTTTTGCATTTTATCCATTCATTGTACCCATTTAGTAGTTGTTAGTTACTCTTATCTATTCTTTTGTTAATAAAACCCCTTTTATTACACTTATGTCTTCCTTGTATTGATAATACAGTAAGAGGCTCTACAAATTAACGGTATCTCTCAAATCCTTCAGATTGGTCAGACTACAACTTCCTCCAATTTATGTAATTCTTATTTATTCAACAAACTTCCATGATTTTTCTTTACTGTCAAGGAGAAATTTCTGGCTGGTGCCCTGTAAAATAGTATGACAAAAACTAAATATTAAAAATAATAATCAAGCGTAGCGTTAGATCTGGCAGGTCACATTAGACAAGCTCGCATCAGCTGACTCTCAGCTAAACCCCATCTACCTATGGGAATACGACAACTATCTAAGCATTCATATATAAGTTCCCTCAGTATTATCAGCAGTTTTCGCATTGCTTAATAGCTAATTAAATGGCGAATTCGGCAGGCAAAACACCATCATCACTAGGGAATTTAGAGAAGTGGAATTCGTTTCCCCAATGGTCTCACCTCCGATTAATTCAAGTTTGTTAACTTGAACACGTGAATTCACCGCATTGCTGCACCGCAGGTTATCTGAAACATGCATGTTGCTAAGGCTATCCGTGTTGTTTAGGCTCATTTAGTTGTTTTCAGTTAAATGCTTGTGCTAGTTTATGCGAATCTGTGGTACTTATCTGTTGTCACTGGCAACACTCTTGTGGCTGCGCTTAACGGGGGGTCTGGTGTCGTTTCGTGCATTCTGAGTTATTTACGCTGTTAGGAGTTGGATTCTTATGCGCACGCGCTCTCAGCGACCCAAGCGAGAGCAAGAGCGCGCTGCTTTATGCGTTTCTTCCATGGTTACGGAAGTCATCGGCAGCGCTGCAGTTACTTGCTCGAGAAGACTAGGATGTTCGAGAGAAACTACACTAGCCTGCCTCCGACTGGAGAGAGTAGCCGCTTGCTCCTGGTAATGACGCTCTGGCAGTGTTTGCATACTATATCACAGATGAAGTGAATTAAATGCAATATTTGTCAAATACACAGACATTTCAGAAACGTTTTCATAAAGCAACAGAAACACTTTTATATACTGCTTAATACAGCGCTACATCTGTTCAAGTTCAACATTAGCATATGCTATTTAAATACCAATAAAGTCGGGGTATATATGCTTTTATCAGTGTTTTTTGAAATGTGACTCAATATAACAGTGTGACTAAAAATGCTTTTACTGTTATAAAAACAGATTTGTGAGCATCATTGGATCATCATCATTGGTTATAATAAGCACGCAACACACATCCTGCTTGTCATCACAGAATCTAACCAACGAGAATAAACACATTAAATGTGCGCAAAAAAAACTCTCCCGATGGCGAGGCGGCTGTGTCGGATTGTGCAGTCGAGCGCAGTTGCTCTCCACCCACTGAGCTGATCAAAAGCATGATGGGAAACGACTGACTGAGACACAGCTTAATGCTCATTGGTTCAGAGTCAGACAACTGTGATGCTGCGTTCTCTTCTAAAATGTTTTATTTCTTTATCTGGTTTCATGTGATTTATGTATTTAAATTATGCATGAATATTCCCAAACACTATGACAGTGGATCTCTGTGTGAGATATGTGATTAATGTCATATTTCTATAAAAATCTAAAATATATGTTTGTATTAAAGTAAAAATGAATGATAACTACGCCTTTCGTGTGGAATCAAGCACTTTGAATGTCTTGTTCATAATATATTTATTTTTATATAAAGGCAACAGAACTGAAATTATATAATGTTTATTAGCAACACAGCACGTGAGTGTGAATAACGCGATATCTGTCTTTGATCTCGTTGGTATATGCTCCACTTCGAGAGGTCAGAAATGTCCGTCTTGACTGTGCTTATTTCACTCCTCCCCTTACTGCAGCCGCCTACTCTCGCCTACATTTCAGGCGAGGTGCATCTCAAACAAGCCTAGTGCCTGACCTAGGCGGCTGTTCTCGTTTTGCTCTCACAGTACTTTGATGGCACATGTGATCATAAGGTGGCTGCAGCGCTCATCAAAGTCGGACAAATTTTCTAACCAGGATGCATTGCTTTAGACAGGCAGCAGTTGATCTTTGCGGCGCCGCATGAAGTCGAACAAGCCTAATATCTCTAAAGAGTGTGTTTTTTGGATGTGAGGAAAAGATAACCTTTTATGTGAACAGTGGATGCAATTTGTTTTTCCAAGGCAGCAACGGCGTTTCACGAGCGTGTTTGTTTGTTTGTTCCCGTCATTTTGGTGACTAATGTTTTATAACAAGGTACATTCTGACACTGGATTTGCACATCGTTTGATACTGAAAGACGGAGCAGTCCCAGCGATAAAAGATCCCGGTCATGATTAGGAAGTGCTGTAAAACTGCATCAATGTCTATGTTTTGTTGCCAATTGGCCCGTAAGTGCTCGGGCCGATTGGCTTCAGCTCCGCCCATAGCTCGCCTCCAGGAGCTCGGCTGTTTCCGGAGAGAATCGCAAAGCTGTATCTTTCTTTTATATATCTGATAAAACTGAAGACACTTCGGAGATGTGAATGATGCAATACTACACTATAGGTACTCAAGATTAACATGAGATTGGCCGAAACTGTGTGTTATGTCCCCTTTAACCTAGTCAAGTCGACTTTATTTTTATAGCACTACAGCACAGATTTAAGCAGCAGGAAATAACGACCATGGTGCAAATGGAATCATTTCTGCTGCGGCGCAGCTCCAAGAGAAAATAGTAAATGGTCATTGTTCAGTTGAAGTTGTCTGCACCCGAAAACCTAGGCTGCTGACACGCTACCTCGCCGCCTATCAGCCAATGACTTCGCAGGCAGCATTTGTTCATAAAGGCAACTCATGAAACTGATATCGGACATGCTTCTGAGGCAGCTTAACGTTCAATGATCTACAACAAAATAGTATGAGCTTTGGTGATAACTAAGCAAATATTCAATGATTTATTTGATCAATCATCATGGCATAGAACACACAGGATTGTGGGCATCAAGGCAGCGAAGGATGCATCTATTCTGCCTTTAAATATCGACCACATGAGGTATCTCAGGAGGCAGGAAATGAAGCTAACTTTGGATTCGACGTGTCTCGATGCCTTCCTTCCTTGAAATGTGTCCTCCGAAAGCAGTATTTTCCAGTTTCGGATGCAGCCGTCAGTTCAGCGTTGATTCTGTTCCCGCATCAGACACACTTGTTCTGTCTAGTCGTATTGGAAACATGCTTGTTCTTAAGCTCGGTTGTTATTGGGAACATGCTTGTTCTTAAGTTATAGTTGTATTGTCAGGAACACGTTTGTCCCAGAGCTATCTGGTTGTTATTGGAACATGCTTGTTCTAAAAGCTGTAGTCGTATTTGGAACATGCTTGTTCCAGAGCAATCTGGTTGTTATTCGGAACATGCCTGTTCTGAAGCTGTAGTTGAATTGGAACATGTTTTTCTTAAGTCTATCTGGTGTTATTGAGAACATGTTGCTTAAGCTTTTAAGGTATTGGCAACATATTCATTAGAAAATCTGTTTAAGGCAACATATTTGATTGGTCATTGGTTAAGGGCAACATGCTTGTTGCTTAAGGCTTTGAGATTTTGTTATCAGTTTGTGTTGGGGGATATCAGCATATGGTTTTGTTTTGGGGGGTTATTGCTGCTCTCCCTGCTCTCATCCATACTAGGCTGCATGGATGCGCAGGGAGTTCTTGCCCAGAACAAAACCATACCGCCAATCCAAACTGTATGCTAATTGTCAATCATATTTGGCGATAGTGGTCCTGACAGAAATAAAGCGTAGCGTTAGTTCTGGCAGGTCACGTTAGTCAAGCTCGCATCAGCTGACTCTCAGCTGATCCCCATCTACCTATGGGAATACAACACCTATCTAAGCATTCATATATAAGATCCCTCAGTATTATCAGCAGTTTTAGCATTGCTCAATAGCTAATTACCCTCCTCCATCCCCAACTTCTCCTCTGTCAGTCGGGATTCAGCCTTCTGATTCTCCTTTGAATCAGACTAATTCTAAAATTTGTTATAAAATTATTGAACTTTAACAATATCTGCAATACATCTATGTTGGTTCTGTTCTGTTTACCCTGGGGGTTATTGCTGCTCTCCCTGCTCTCATCCATGCTAGGCTGCATGGATGCGCAGGGAGTTCTTGCCCAGAACAAAACCATACCGCCAATCCAAACTGTATGTTAATTGTCAATCATATTTGACGATAGTGGTCCTGACAGAATTCATATTTAAGCCCAAAGCCATTACACTGGTAGTGCTACTTAAATCTAAAATCACTACATTTAGTGGTTCCCCGTGTGAGGCTATCTAACCTTGAAATCACTACAACAATAAATGCATCTAATGATGGTTCACTAATTATTAATAAACAATCCCTTTTAATCTTACTTTGTCATTCTTCGGCCTATAGTTACACTGGTGCATCTATAATATAATTAATCTGTAATATTATTTATACAAACATTTGTAAATTATCCACGCCTAACCTCAGTGGCTCCTTTGAAGCCTGTTGCTGCAGCAGTAGTGATTTCTCCATTTTAGGTTTCCTTCCTCTGCGCTTTAGTAATGGAACTGCTCCACCTAAATAAGAAAAAAGACACACCACATACATATTTATAGATACGTTGCCTTACTAAAGATAAGAAAACATCTACAGAGTTTGAAAGGGTAATCTGCACCTGCTGATAATAAATCTAACCCAGGAGCACTTGAAGTGGGGCTTGAGTTTTCTGTATCAGAGTCTAGTTCAGCTTCAATCTGTGAAAACCAAATCAAATATTTAATTTCTGGTAGTTATGTTATTGGTCATGTAACCTAATCACAAGAATCACCAGCAAAGTGCACAGAGTCATTACCTTTCTCTTCCTTCCTCTTTTATCTTTGGCAGAGACATTTGTGGTATCTTTATGTGATGGGTCCTGGGGACCACAAAAAATTATAAAATATATGACATGACCCATTTTTAAGGCATATCATACTAAATTCAAATCCACATGGTCACTCCAGTGATTTTACAGTTAAAGGGATAGTTCACAAAAAAAATTACAATTTGCTGTTAATTTACTCACACTCAGGCCATTTAAGATGTAGGTGACTTTTTTCTTCAGTATAACATTAAGATTTTTAGCTGAAAATGTGGTCCTTGGTGATTCATAAAATGCAAGTTTGCGGCTACTGGTTTTTCAGAATAAAAAAAAAAGGAACACAAAATTAATACCCCCGGCTCCTGACGATATATTGAGGTCTTATGAAGTGAAGCGATTGGTCTGTGCAAGAAATTGAACATTATTACTACCTGTAATCCACAGTTGCAGGCAAACGGTCCATAGTGGTGTCTGGTTCGCGAACTAATCATTCTTTTGGACCACTTCTTTTTGGTGAACTGGTTCATCCAGTATATCAGACTGAACCATCTGTATATCAGACAATATTAGACTGAACCATCTGTTCACGGCTTGAGCAGGACATATCTACAAATTACTCAATCAAAAATCATAATGATTTCATAAAATCATAAATCATAATCATGCAAACAAAACATGCTCGACACAAAACATCACTTCAGATTATCATAATCCTGATCAGATTATCATAATCAATTCTTTTCCACATAAATGCAGTTTAGAGTCTCTGGACTTCTTCTAAAAACTTCTCAGAACTCGACATTAACCATAAAATTTATTTTAGAATTGACTGAATTCGAATGAACTAAAAATTATTTTTTGTTTGATAAAGACTGTTATGTTCAAGTGCAAGGAACTGCTATGTGTACTCCCATAGCACCAAGTTATGCAAATATTTTTATGGGTAAATTTTTAATTAGATTTCATTTATAAAAATAATCCTTTTATATTAAGTACTGGGCAAGATATATAGATGATTGTTTTCTCATTTGGAAAGGAAGTGAAGAGGAACTACATGAAGTTGTGACCATTGTGAAGTCATAGATCCTCTTCTGAATATTATTAATTCATCAATGTCATTAAGATATGTCCCCAAAACCTTCAAATTGATTGTTATTAAGCCTCTCATTAAAAAAACACAACTTGATCCTAGAGAATTAGTTAATCACACACAGACCTCAAATCTCCCTTTTTTCTGTCAAAAATACTAGAAAAGGCAGTATCCTCTCAGCTATGTTCCTTCTTAGAGAGAAATGGTATCTGTGAGGATTTCCAGTCAGGATTTAGATGTATCATAGTACTGAGACTGCTCTTATCATCCGATCATGGTTGTATTTCTCTATTAGTGCTACTGGATCTTAGCGTTGCACCATTGATCACACCATTCTTTTGAGACTACAAAATTATGTTGGCATTATTGGAATTGCATTTTCATAGCTCAAATCTTAATTATCTGACCGTCATCAATTTGTAGCAGTGAATGACGAGGTATCATATCGATCACAAGTTCAGTATGGAATACCACAAGGCTCAGTACCAGGACCGTTGCTTTTTATGCTTTATTTGTTACCCTTGGGAGATATCATCAAGATACATGGTGTTAGCTTTCACTGTTATGCTGATGATACTCTGCTCTATATTTCTTTGCAGCCCGAAGAAACATACCAATTCGCAAAACTAACGGAATGCATAGTTTATATAAAAAAACTGGATGACTAGTCATTTCTACTACTAAATTCTGAAAAAACAGAGGTTTTATTTATTGGACCAAAAATTAGGAACCTGTCACGTGTATGTTACCGTTTAGTTCCTGTTGTCCTTATTTGGTCCTTCCAGTTACTTTTCCCATTATTAGTATCACCTGTTCCTTGTTATTAGTTATCCCCATCACCCATTATTTATGCCCCACGTTATCTGCCCTATTTAGTTCTAGCCCGTTCTGTTCTCCCTTGTCTGGAAATGTTTGTCAACTCCTTGTGCTACGTGTGATTCCCTGAAAAAAATAATTAAACTCCTTTGTTTTGTACTCCTGGTCTCCTCGTTCCTCACTCCGTGCTCCTCACAATAGCAACCCGTGACAGAATTTCAGACCACACAAAAAGTGAGCGGCGACTTTTCCTCGTGTTTCCTTTTTGAAAAGTTTTTGTTTTCCCTGCGGCTATGTAAATTGCAGCTCGGTTCTACGCCTTAGCTCGCCTAGATCTCCTCTTTGTCGAGTATTCCTGGGAGTTCTGCAGGCTTGCTGCGGCTAAGGTTCCAGCCCCAGTGCCTGTTCCTCGTAAGCGCCTTCCAGAGCTCGCTCCAGTGTCGGCTCCAGCCCCAGAGCTCGCTCCAGTGTCTGCTCCAGTCCCAAAACTCACTCCAGTGCCAGCTCCTTGAGGGCACTTTGCTGTGCCTGCTACTCCAGAGCACCCTCCAGTGCCAGCACTATGTAAGCGCTACCCTGATCCCCAGGTTAAGCCCAGGGAGGGCTCCTGTTTCCCGTTAAGCCCAGGGAGGGCTCCTGATCTCCAGTTAAGCCCAGGGAGGGCTTCAGATCCCCAGTAAACCCCCGGGAAGGCTCCTGATTCCCCGTTTCGCCCAGGGAGGGCTCCTGATCCCCAGTCAAGCGCAGTGAGGGCTCCTGTTCCCGAGTATAGCCCTCGGAGGGCTCCAGATCCCCCATTAAGCCCAGGGAGGGCTCCTGTTCCCCAGTTAAGCCCAGGGAGGGCTTCAGATCTCCAGTTAAGCCCCGGGAGGGCTACTGATTCCCCATTTAGCCCAGGGAGGGCTCCTGATCCCCAGTCAAGCCCAGGGAGGGCTCCTGATCCCCAGTCAAGCCCAGGGAGGGCCCCTGATCCCCAGTCAAGCCCAGGGAGGGCTCCAGCCCCAGAGCTTGCTCCAGTGCCCGCTCCTTGTAAGCGCTTTCTAGAGCGCCATCTAGTGCCCGCTCCTCCAGAGCGCGCCCCAGGATTCCTAGATTTCCCCAAGAAATTTTTTTTTGGGGGGCCATATAACCATGGCCGAGCCAGCTCCGCCGTGGCTCCCTGATCCATGCCCGCCCCCCTCCCTGATGGTACTGTTACAGCGCGGGATGCGCCATCCGGGAGGGGGGCGATCTGTCACGTGTATGTTTCCGTTTAGTTCCTGTTGTCCTTATTTGGTCCTTCCAGTTCCTTTTCCCATTATTAGTATTACCTGTTCCTTGTTATTAGTTATCCCCATCAGTTCTGTTCTCCCTTGTCTGGAATTGTTTGTCAACTCTTTGTGCTACATGTGATTCCCTGAAAAAAATAATTAAACTCCTTTGTTTTGTACTCCTGGTCTCCTCGCTCCGTGCTCCTCACAGTAGCAACCCATGACAGAACCTAGGTGTGCTATTTGATAGCAATCTTTCCTTTAAAAACCATGTTTCTAGCATTTGTAAAAATATATTTTTCCATCTTAAAAATATATCTAAATTGTGACCTATGCTCTCAATATCAAATGCAGAAATGTTAATGTGGTCATGACCTCAAGGTTAGATTATTGTAATGCTTTATTGGGTGGTTGCTCTGCGCACACCAGCTAGAATTCTTACTAGAACCAGGAAGTACAACAATATTAGCCTGGTTCTGTCAACTCTGCACTGGCACCCTACTGAACATCGTATACATTTTAAAATCTTGCTAATTACTTATAAAGCCCTGAATGATTTAGCTGCTCAGTACTTGAGCGAGCTCATATCACATTATAGTCCTTCACGTCCTCTGCGATCTCAAAACTCTGGCCATTTGATAATACCTAGACTATCAAAATTAACTGCGGGCAGCAGATCCTTTTCCTATTTAGCGCCCAAACTCTGGAATAATCAATCTAGCATTGTTCGGGAGGCAGACAAAATCTGTCAGTTTAAATCTAGATTAAAGACCCATCTCTTTAACCTGGTATACACATAACACACTATCGCTTTTCTGTAATTCAAATCCATTAAAGGATTGTTAGGCTGCATTAATTAGGTCAATCGGAACCGGGAACACTTTCCATAACACCCGATGTACTCATTACATCGTAAGAAGAATGGCATCTACACTAATATTAGTCTGTTTCATTCTTATTCTGAGGTCACCGTAGCTACCCAGATCCAGTTGGTTTCCAGACCAGAGGTCCACTGTAGCCACCCAGATCCAGTCCATATCCAGACCAGATGGTGGATCAGCACCTAGAGATGACCTTTACATCAATAAATGCTTAAATAAGGTTTGTTTCTCCATTTGTCACATGTATGTTACTGTTTGTCCTTATTTGGTTTGGTTCCTGTTCACGTTGTGTCTTTATTAGTTGATTTATCTTCACCTATCTGCCCCTCGTTAACTACCCTACTTTAGTTCTAGCCTGTTCTGTTCTCCCTCGTCCAGTATTGAATGTTGATGTTAAACCTGTGTCTCCTGTTTGGATTTATTAAAGACTGTTTGACCTAATCTTCCTCTTCGTGTGTGTTTGAGAGACTACGAGACTGTGACAGAATACCGGACCACAACAAGATGACAGAACTGAGCAACGGTAACTGGGCTGAGGATTTTCTCCTGGATTTCCAGCAGGAGGGATGGCCTTTGGAGCAGTATGTGGAGGAGTTTCTGAGCGTGATAAATCTGGTGAGTTGGAGCGATTCCATGATTAATGCGTGCTTCCGGATGGGACAAAAAGATGATCAATTGTTTAGATTCTTGACTCCTGATGATTGCCGCAGACCCGTAGCGGATTTTATAAACTACATTCTAGATTTAAATGGTTCCAAGTTCCTAGTCGATGTGGAGGATCATCACCCTCCTCCCATTCGGAAGTATGTGAACGCTCCAGCTCACCACAAGCCAGCTCCCTCCACATATGATTCTAATGAGCCCGCTCCCTCCATTCCTCCCGCACTTCTTCGAGTTCTCCTAAGCTCCTCCTTAGTCCTCAGCCCAGGATCGCCCGGCTGCTCAGCTCTCATGCCCGCCGGCCGCTCAGAAATTAAGTCCGCCATCTGCTCCGTTTTCAAGTCCGCCAGCCGTTGCTCACTCAAGCCCGCCGGCCGCCACTGACGCAAGCCCATCGGCCGCTGCACTCTCTCAAACCTCAGCCCAAGGGAAGAGGCTGAGGAGGAGGCGGTCTTCCAAAGCTCCAGCTCTAGAGTCCGCTCCAGCATGCCTCTCAGTGCTCACGGACATGGTGCTACCCCCAGAGTTCTCGGCTCCTATCCTCACCCCAGAATCCGCTCCAGAAAGCTCTCCTTCATCTCCGCTGGTCCCATCCAGCTCTCCGTCGTCTCCCGAGTCTCCCTTGTCTCCGCTGGTCCCATCCAGCCCTCCTTCGTCTCCTGAGCCCCCAGAGCGCCCTCTAGAATCCCTCCGGGGGGGGGGGCTTGCTTAGTTAGGAAAAAACATATACAAGGTTGTTTTCTATGTTGGAATCATGTTCTTCTGTACTATGTAAAAACTTTACATGTTTTTCCACAAAAAAGTGTATCATATCAAATCTTGTTTAACATGTTTTGCTAAAGATATTTACATCAATGTCTGTGTCCATCAGTGTTGTGGAAAGTTACTTTTAAAAGTAATGCATTACAATACTGCGTTACTCCCTAAAAAAGTAACTAATTACGTTACTTAGTTACTTTTTATGGAAAGTAATGCGTTATATTACTTTTGCGTTACTTTCACGTTACTTTTTAAATATGAACAGGGCTTGATTATTTTTAATATAAGAAGTTCTATTTATAGCTAATGTAAAAGCCCTTTCACACCAAAAAGTGTAATGAATAAGCCTCAGGCTGAAGCAAAAGTAAATTCACATCTGTACAGTAGAACGCAGGAGAAGAAACACTCTTCAGCAATAAAAAAAAAACAATGAAGCACAATTGTTAGTTTATCTAAAGTAATTTTTGCTTATTAGTACGGTTGAACTGGATCATCAAAGGTCAGCAACAAAGACATTGGTTAATAAAATGGGATTAGATACATTTGTGTTATTTAACATTTAATTATTGCAGGTTTGCGTCATATTCAGAGTTTGCATTTCACTGTTTTAATTCATTTTGATGAATACTAAATCAGTTTTTTGTGAGTGGGATGAATTAATGCACATTCACATTTAGTCTAGAACTACAGTAACATCATGTTCACACAGCTCACACAACTCCTCTGTACTTCCCATTTCTGTCACCATGGCAACACCAGAGCTGTCAGTCAATAAATGGGAAAACAAAGTAACTGGCGTTACTTTTTTGAAAAAGTAACTCAGATATTTTCTTGTAAATTAAAAAAGTAATGCGTTACTTACTAGTTACTTGGAAAAAGTAATCTGATTACGTAACTCGCGTTACTTGTAATGCGTTACCCCCAACACTGATGTCCATTGATGTATGATGAGAAAGCATCAAGATCATTGAGCATCAGAGTGAGTGCACATAAATCAGCCATGATGATATGATGTTATCTCTCTGATTGCCAGACACTTCACTGATTCATGATATTGAACAACTTAAACATGTAGGTATTGAGAAAGTGATGACTTCCCACCGCAGTGGAGATATTGACAAAAAACTTCTACAAAGAGAGACATTTTGGATGTTTTGTTTACAGACAATAATTTTGATCTCATGGTTTTTTTAATGTTTATGAACATAATTTTTTGTCAATTTTTTGTTCGCAAAATGGCCGCCCTTCTAGAGTCTTATCATGTCTCAGCTGATCTTCCAGAGTCTCACCATGACATTTCAGAGACTGTTCACATCACGCCTGAGTCCCCGGCCAAGATGGCCGCCACGCCTGAGTCCCCGGCCAAGATGGCCACCACGCCTGAGTCCCCGGCCAAGATGGCCGCTACGCCTGAGTCAGACACGGAGCTTGGGCCAAGCCTCAAAAGACTGATTGCTAGTGTGATGGACCCACCTCTGATGTCGGTGCGAGCTGCAGGCATCACGGTAACGTCAGCTCTCTCATGCTTCCCTTGCCCTCATGTCTTCATGCTATTGGTTCCTCTGTTCATTGTGTCATGTTCTGATTGGTTGTCTTAGTCATGTGTCTTGTTTCCAATTGGTTTGTTCATGTCATGTGACCCTCTTTGTCCGCTATAACTAGCCATCATGTTCCCATTGTGCCCTGGTCGTGTATTGATGTTGTAACCCGCTGTTGGTGAGTCTAGTCTGTTATACCTCGTCAAGCCTGTTCATGTCAAGTCAAGTCTGTTCATGCCTCGTCAAGTTAAGTCTGTGTCTCTAGTCTTCGTCTGCTTGGATGTTTGGATCACTGTAAATAAACTGCAACTGTAAATAAATGGTTCTTCACTACGCTCGCCTTCAGTGGATGATTCGTTACAATATGTTACGTCATTGCATGATTATGTAAATTAACTACTGAATTGAACCAGTTCATTGAAATAAACCCAAGAGCCCAAAAGAACCAGTTTGCAAAAAAAGTTTGCCTGAGGCAATGGATTGCAGGTGATAATGTTGTAAATAATGTTCAGTTTCTCGCACAGATTGATCACTTCACTTCATAAGACCTCAATATATTGTCAGGAGCCACGGGTATTAATTTTGTGTTCCCTGATATGTTTTTTTTTCCTCTCAAAAACCAGTAACCACCGACTTGCATTTTATGAATCACCAAGGACCATGGTTTCATCTAAAAATCTTCTTTACTGCTCTACTGAAGGAAGAAGTAACCTACATCTCAGATGCCTAAGGGTAAGTAAATTAATAGTTCACTCAAAAATTTAAATTTGCTATCTCTTTAAGCCATTTCACCACAGAAAAAGAGAACCAGCTGCCTAAAGGTACACTCAGTATTTTTTGGTTACTTGGTTATATTTTGAAATATTGGTCAACATCTCACTAGAGATTATATGATTTTAAACACATTTTTCAAGTCATATTCATAAAAAAAAAAAAAACTTCCAAAGCATACAATGTAGCAATCTACATGCTCATAATAAAAAGAAAAGGAAATGCACTGAAAAATTTAGAGACCCTGGATTGAATTTTACAGGTAAATACAACATATCTGCTGGCCACACAAGCAACGTTTTGCAAACATTACCATTCAGACATCACAGCGCCAAAATACTAGTGAATTCTGAGATGTCCATCATTGGAAATGTGTTTTAAATGCTATTCTGTTTTCCGACTGGTGCTTTAGTTTCTCTATCGGTCCAATTTGACAACATTTTGTTGACTTTCAAGTGTGAATTACTGTAAACAGTTCAGAATAAATCACGTCACCTCCATGAGAACTTTATGATTGGCCTGAAGCAGACTTTGTACATCAGCATGTCCTGATCTTGTACGTACTCATACCAGTAATCTTTTTTCATGCATAGCATCAAAATGGTCATTTACCTGATTCTATATTACAACTTCACTCCCCTGCAATTGCAGGAAATGATTTACTGTTATTTTGCAAAGGGGCGGTTCACACATGATCTCTAAATTGTAATTGTTTTGGTAATATTCTAGAAAAGCCTACATGTGAGAAAGCCTCTAATAAGACAATGAAATATGTATGTAATTTATGTAATGCCCTTTATGTAATTCCTGGCATAACATCAGACATCCTTCTCTGTTCTCAATATGCTGCTGACTATACACTTGCTGGCCATTTTATTAGGTACACCTTGCTAGTTCCAGGTTGGACCCCCTTTTGCCTTCAGAACTGCCTTAATTCTTTGTGGCATAGATTCAACAAGGTGCAGGTGACATAGAGATTTTGGTCCATATTGGCATAATAGCATAATGCAATTACTGCAGATTTGTCGGCTGCACATCCATTATTAGAAACTCTCACTCCACCACATCCCAAAGGGGCTCTACTGGATTGAGATCTGGTGACTGTGGAGCACATTTGAGTACAGTGAACCCATTGTCATGCTCAAGAAACCAGTTTGATATGATTTAAGCTTTATGACGGTGCATTATCCTGCTGGAAGTAACCATAACAATATGGGTAGACTGTGGTCATAAAGGGATGGACGTTGTCAGCAAAAGTACACAGGTAGGCTGTAGCAATATTCCCCACACTATTAAACCACCACCAGCCTGGACCTTTGATACAAGGATGGATACATGCTTTAATGCTATTTGTGTCAAATTCAGATTTTTCTCTCAGAACTGCTGCTCACATGATAATTTCTCTTTTTCGGATAATTCTCTATAAACCTAGAGATGGTTGCACGTGAATCCCAGTTTAACAGCAGTTTCTGAATAATCAGTCAGGCACCAACAACCATGCCATGTTAAAGTCACTTAAATCACCATTATTCCCCATTCTGATTTGAACATCAGCAGATCATCTTGACCATGTCTACATGCCTAAATGCAATGAGTTGCTGTCATGTGACTGGCTGATTAGATATTTCAGTTATTGATCAGTTGAACAGATGTACCTAATAAAGTGGCCATTAAGTGTATATAAATAATATTCTGACTTAAATTTTTATCCTGCTCTTTTTCACTGCTACAAGCATCTCTTTTGCATGTAAAACATCCCACCACAAGGCCTCTGAACCTCATCGACACTGTAAGAGTACATACTTCATCTTTCATATGTCCCTGATCAGAAACCTCCATGTCACCACAATCATCCTTCTCCTTCTCCTCCTCCTCGCCCTCCTCACTGCCAGCCACCTGCATAATGTCAAAAACACAGGGCCTCACCATGCTGGAGATTACCATGCCAGCTTGTGTCATTAAGACAGCCCAGTCCACGTGATGGACTTACAGGACACAATTTTTTGAAGAAACTGACAGAGACATACTTGAGCAGACTTTCTCCTCTTCTCATCATTCCCCTCTTGACTGCTGCTTAAGTTCTTAACAGAACCTGCTCCAGCATTCATTATCTACACAAGGGTTTTGGAAATAAACTGTTAACCATTTTTATACAACAACAATTTGTGCACAAATATGGAGTAAACACAAAAACAAACCTCCCACAAATTTGCACACTGCAATCCACAAATTCATGCAAGAGATCTACACCCACACATGGCAGTACACAAATAGAGGCAGAAATTCACACACACTCCATTCACAAATACACAACATCAGAATGTACAATAAATACCAATTCCAAAAAAGTTGGGACATTTTGTAAAACGCAATGAAATCAAGATTCTGTGATTTGTCAATTCCCTTTAACTTTTATTTAATTGACAAAAGTACAAAGATGTCCAATGTTTCACTGAACAGCTTAAATGCATTTTGTAAATATAAACAGATTTTGATGTTGATGACTGCAACACACTCCAAAAAAGTTGGAACAGAGGCAAAATAAAAGTGAAAAGGTTATAGAATATCCAAGTTAAAATGTTTTAAAACAGTCAGCAGGTGAATTAGTAATAGGTGAGGGAATCATGTTTGGGTATAAAAGGAGCATCTCAGTCTTTGCCAGCAAAACCACTTTGTGCCAAATTTCATGTGATAAGTGTGAAATAAATAAAGCACATTTCTCAATGCAAAATCACAAATAATCTAGGTCTCTCACCAACTACCATACATAATATGATACATACATGATATATATATATAAAAAAACTTGACCCTGTAACACTTTTTTAAAGAAAAAAAATTGACAAAAAAATAACTTACATCTTTTTCTTTTTTTCTATTTTATCTACTAGTTTTCTTTTTATTTATCATAAAAAATGACCCTCTAACACTAGCGTTTTCTATTCTTTCAACTTTTCTTTTTATTTAAAAAATTGACCCTCTAACACTAGCGTTCTCTATTGTTTTTTTCCATTCTATCTACTTGTTTTTTTTTTTTTTTTTTTTTTTAACTTGCAACGTGTACTGCGTTAGACGAACCGAGACTTGTCACAGCCCTTAAATATTTTTGCTCTTGTTGGTTTTGATTGCTTCTATTGTCCTCATTTGTAAGTCACTCAGGAGTTTTCAAAGTGGGAAAATATTTTTTAAGTCTGTGTGATTTCTGTGACGTGGAAAAGGGAGGGAAATCGTGAAATCCAGTCATTAAAATGGAATTTACTGTATAGTGCAGAATGTCACGGAATTTGGCAAATCTTGAATGAATAAATCAAAATTAGCACTGTACACTTAATGAAATCTCTATATGGACTATTGTCTGTATATTGTTTTTTTTCCTTTTTTTTTCTTTTTTTTTTTTTTTTTTTTTTTTTTTAAACTTGCAACGTGTACTGCGTTAGACGAACCGAGACTTGTCACAGCACTTACATATTTTTGCTCTTGTTGGTTTTGATTGCTTCTATTGTCCTCATTTGTAAGTCACTCAGGAGTTTTCAAAGTGGGAAAATATTTTTTAAGTCTGTGTGATTTCTGTGACGTGGAAAAGGGAGGGAAATCGTGAAATCCAGTCATTAAAATGGAATTTACTGTATAGTGCAGAATGTCACGGAATTTGGCAAATCTTGAATGAATAAATCAAAATTAGCACTGTACACTTAATGAAATCTCTATATGGACTATTGTCTGTATATTAAAGCACATCTTTATATTAAAATATGTATGTCTGTATATTAAATTGTGCATGTTCTGCGCATCTATGAGTGAATGAATGTCACAGTTTATCTTCTACATACATAATGAAGCACACGTGGCGCTCATGGTGTTTCCCGCTTCTGCCGTCTCACTATATAAGGATATAAACACATGAACTTCATCTTTAGATCTGCTCTGAGAGTCACTTCACCAGCAATGGACAATATGCACAAAGCGTTCTTTAGAACTTCTGCATTAAAGGTGCACTTACTTTACGACCTATGCTCTCAATGTCAAATTCAGAAACGTTAATTCATGCATTCATGACCTCAAGGTTAGATTACTGTAATGCTTTATTGGGTGCTTGTTCTGCATGCTTAATAAACAAACTCCAGCTGGTCCAAAATGCAGCAGCTAGAGTTCTTACTAGAACCAGGAAGTATGACCATATTAGCCCGGTTCTGTCAACACTGCACTGGCACCCTATTAAACATCGTATAGATTTTAAAATCTTGCTTATTACTTATAAAGCCCTGAATGGTTTAGCACTTTAGTATTTGAACAAGCTCTTATTGCATTATAGTCCTCCACGTCCACTGCGTTCTCAAAACTCTGGCAATTTGATAATGCCTAGAATATCAAAATCAACTGCAGGCAGCAGATCCTTTTCCTATTTAGCGCCCAAACTCTGGAATAACCTACCTAACATTGCTCGGGAGGCAGACACACTCTTGTCAGTTTAAATCTAGATTAAAGACCCATCTCTTTAACCTGGCTTACACATAACACACTAACACATTTCTAATATTCAAATCCGTTAAAGGATTTTTAGGCTGCATTAATTAGGACAACCGGAACTGGGAACACTTCCCATAACACCCGATGTACTTGCTACATCGTTAGAAGAATGGAATCTACGCTAATATTTGTCTGTTTCTTTCTTATTCCAAGGTCACCGTAGCCACCAGATCCAGTCTGTATCCAGATCAGATGGTGGATCAGCACCTAGAGATGATCTCTACAGCCCTGAATGTCAGCTGAGACCAGGACAACTAGATGAGCCCCAGAGGCAGATCCCCAGTGAAGACCTTGTCTCCTAACGGCCACCGGAACAAGACCACAGGAACCAGATACCTCTGCACAATGTGACTTTGCTGCAACCTGGATTTGAACTTCTGGTTTCGTCTGGCCAGTGGAGAACTGGCCCCCTGACTGAGCCTGGTTTCTCTCAATGTTTTTTTCTCCATTCTGTCACCGATGGAGTTTTGGTTCCTTGCCACTGTCGCCTCTGGCTTGCTTAGTTGGGGACACTTAATTTCCAGTGATATCGTCGACTTGATTGCAGAGATACTATTTTTTAAACTGAACTGAGCTGGATGATGACATCACTGAATTCAATGATGAACTGCCTTTAACTGAAAATTGAGTGTTTACCATTGTAATTTTGCATTAATGACACACTATTTTCCTAATTAATGCTGTACAGTTGCTTTGACACAATCTGTATTGTTAAAAGTGCTATATAAATAAAGGTGACTTGACTTGACACCAGTGTTGCGAAGGTTACTTTGGAAATGTAATAGGTTACAGATTACAAGTTACCCTATTTAAAATGTAATAGTAGTATGACTTTTTCAATAACTTTATAAAAAAAAATGTAACTGATTACTTTTGATTACTTTTTGATTACTTTTCTAAATTTCTAATGAATGTTTATTTGCAACTGTTAATCATTTTTAAACATTTACACCATGCAGGGCTAACCTTACAGTAGTGCTCAACACTGTCAGATTTTCAAAATCCTTCATCACTTGAATTAAGATGATCAAATTTGAACACATCCACCACAAAATCAGACTTTAGTACTGCCTTTTACTTTGAGATTGATCTGATCTGAAGTTCAATGCAGATTTAAAATCATAAGAAATAGTGGTAACACTTTCTATGAAGCCCGTATTTATAATACATTATAACGGTATTCGTAAGGCATTATAATTAATGCATAATGCATTATAAAAAAACTTATAATATGTTGTATCATCTAATGAATATTCGTAAGAACAGTTTTAATATATTATAATATTTACTCATTTGTGGTTATAGCTTTTAAGAGTATGATGATTTATAACACAATGAACACGAACCACTCACAAGCTGTACTAAGATACTGTGCAGATCTTAAATAAACAATGTCAAGATATGATACAGTCCATTATACTGTAAATTAAGTAGATTTAATATGGTGTTCATTGTGTGTTATAAATAATCATACTCTTAAACTTATAACCACAAATACATAACTATTATGATGTATTATAATTGTTGTTATGATTATTCATGAGTTGATATATATTATAAGTTTTTTTTATTATGCATTCATTATAATGCCTTAAGAATAACCTTATAATGTATTATAAATACAGGCTTCATAGAAAGTGTTACCGAAATAGTTTACTGATACTGTTTTTGAAACCAAATCTTTGCATAACTACAGGAAACACTGCATCTAACAATGGTTTGGAATAAAAATAGTTAATTAAAAATGAATAATAAATAAAAGTATATACATCAATTCAAATACGGTTATCTAATAAGCATGAGTCCTATTCTGTGTACTAAACTCCTGAAACATTGGTGTCTTTTTGAAACATTGGGTCTCTTTGTATATAATATGACGATCGTTTTCTCAAAATAAGTAAAATGCTCATGAAGTGACTCAGAGCAGATCTAGAGATTATGTTTTTGTGTCCATGTACTCATATATTGAGGCGGCAGAGGCTGAAAACACTGCGAGCTTCAGTAGACCTATGTGTAGTAAATGAAACTGCATGTCTGTGCCATTAATTTCCACGAGGGGCAGACTGGGGAAAAAAATTCAGGCCGGGAAATCTCACACTCATACACCCACAACAAATTCTGAAACATACACAACCCTATTTTTAGTATGGACCTCACATAAAAAAGGTTTAAATCCTTAGGTTGGGGACATGCAAAATAATTAAAAGATCTCTCCTGAACTGCACCTTCACTTCCATTTTTCTTTTCAGTCTCTTTATTTTGCCCCAATATCTATCTCTCACATGACTTTAATACTCAAGATTAAACAATACTTTCTAAATTGCCTACATGTCAAAATTAGTACATCACTACAATATTTTCATAGAAAAATCCTAATACTGATCATGAGTCATTTTTTTTCTCTTACAAAATTAACCATGCTTTTATTATAGTAAAAGTACAGTCAGTAACCATGTTTTTTTTTTTTTTGGAAAATGGATTACATTTGTATTTTTTTTTACTACAAATTCCATTGTTAAACTATGGTTAGTGTAGCAAAAACCATGGTTAACATTTGTATTTATTTTTACTACAAATTCCATGG